CTCTCTCTCTCTCTCTCTCTCTCTCTCTCTCTCTCTCTCTGCGTGTGTGTGTGTGTGTGTGTGTGTGGACGAGTGTTTTGAACGGTTCGATCGGAGATTGAGCCGGTGATCCACCGTACGATGTGTGGTTCCATAGAATAGACGATGCGTAAACAACAAGCTACGCATTTCTCCTGAGTAAAATGAAGGTGCACTCTCCTGAGTCTCCTCTCGCATGTCACGGACCTCAACACGAGTTTAATTGCTATAAAAAGGAGAAAGAACTCGTTGCTTCCCACGGCTTTCTTTTCGCATGATCAATCAAATCAAAGGCTATATCGGTAATAATCTGAACGATTGTGTTTTTTTTGAATTTGAAGTAGAAGAGTTTAACTGAAATTCAATGTGTTTTCTTTGAGTTACGTCCCCTCAGGGCCCTCACAACCAATTAGATCGCTCAGATCGGCGCGTCGCATAACAGTGAACAGTGAACAGTGGCCGCCCATCAAGTCATCGACCGTACGATCTGTCCCTTTTCTTACTATCGAGACGTCGCTTCATACACTGCTATAATTAGTAATCCCAACGCCAGTACACGGAATCGCTTGAAGATGCTCTCTCTCCCCATAGATCGACCCACAATCTCACGTTGGAAATCCTCCAATGCACGCGCCACCAAAAAAAGAAAAAAAAAAGAGAGGTCAAAAAAAGGGAATCCACATGTGGAAGTTAGCCCCTGCTCACCGTACGTACGGTTGCTAACTTGCTACGCCTCTTTCACTCTGAGCCTCCGCCTCTCTCATCATCCCATTGCTCGGCTACCTGACTAGCCCTCGGTATTTCAGCACCATTGTATATTTCCATTCATCTACGACCACCACGATCTCCACCATTATCTGGACTCGAACGGACTCCGGTCTGTACTCTGAACAGTTCATGGGTGTCAACCATCTACTATCGATCCGCTCTGAGACTCCATCTTCGTCGCTCACTCCGTCGTTTTCTATGCACGATCGTCTTTAAGAATATGGACGACTCGCTGCTGGAACAAGGACCCACCCACTCCATGGCGCTGGCGCCGCTGAGAAGATCAATGGCCACCTAACTGGAGACTCTGAGTCCATGTATTGTCACAAGAATATCAGAGCGCAAGAAGCGAAAAAAAAAAAAAAAAAAAAAAAAAACAAGAAAAAATGATTTCAGCTTCTTATCTTCTTCCTTATAACTCCCCCTGTTCAGAACCTCTTGCGTACAAGGCCGCCCACGTGGATGCAGTGCAGGTTGAGCGGCGGCTGCCCCCACCCCCGTGTGTCATATATATGGGTTTACTAACCCTGTCTCCGTCATTATCGAGGGGGTGACCTTACGAGTGGGAGTGGGCCGCACATAAACCCGTTTCATGGCGTTCGGCTCGCTTGACACACACTGGGCATACGCACACACCCTACCATGTTTTCTACTGAGCTGTGGAGGTAATTACAGTCATGCTCACACTACCGTCGTCACTCCCATGGACCTCCCGGTCATTTTAGTTGTATCTGGACTGAAAAGCGCACCAAATACGGCTACAATCACGGGGCGTTCTGTTCGGATAAAGACGGTAGAGCAAGTTTTCTACTGAGCTGTGCAGTAAACAACGTCTTCTTTGTATCTACGTGTGTGCGTGCATGCTCACACTACCGTTGTCACTCGTATGGACCTCCCGGTCATTTTAGTTGTATCTGGACTGAAAAGCGCACCAAATACGGCTACAATCACGGGGCGTTCTGTTCGGATAAAGACGGTAGAGCAAGTTTTCTACTGAGCTGTGCAGTAAACAACGTCTTCTTTGTATCTCCGTGTGTGTGCGTGAATTTATCTGTCGTATCTGGACGGCGGACGTGGGTCTCCACCTCCACCTCCATCAACAAGAGTCTCTGCAACTCGCATTCGAAAATCTGAGAGGGGTTTAGAAAGACGTAAGTGTATACTGACAGTCTCCTGACGGCACTGACAAACCTAACGGAATACTGACAATCGTAACGGTAGAGACTGACAAACCTAACGGAATACTGACAATCGTAACGGTACACCGACAAAACTAACGCTATCATATTGGCAATCCTAACGCTGATGGCAATCTTGACAGCGAAGGGGAGAGACGATCGACCTACTCCATACTCAAGCCACCGCTGAAGAATTTTAAGAGAAATATTTTATTATATATACGCCGACGCCGTTTTGCAGACACTGATGCCGGCGCTGATGTCCCCAGTACAGCAGTACAGATTCCAGACTGCAATGGGCGCCGCCGAATCTTCAAGGCGCGCCCCCCAGTACAGATTCCACGTTGACAGATTAGAAAACGGCTTAGCTGCCCGCTTCACCAGACTAGGCCCCAGCACCACTACCAGTAGCACAGCAAGGGGGGATCACAATTAAAAACTACACACAAGAAGAAGAAGAAGAAGAAGAAGAAGAAGAAGAAGAAGAAAGATCACAGTGAGAAATCGATAGCCACGCGGCGTGACCTCGTCGATCTTGACTTTTTTCCGGTCACAGTCGCGTTCCATTGGACCCTATTAAGATGAAGGACAGCAAATGGAGAATCGGTGAATGCAGCTCTGACATGAATCGAAGGGGAAAGGAAACCAACGAGAACTCACATGCCTGTGTGAGGAGGGGAGGGTACACACTGCACAGTGCAGAAGAGTGGGAGCAGAGTGATGGCGAGCGCGCCGTAAGCGGTTTCTTATTGGCTGTTTATGGTACTAAGCAGACTCACAAGCTGGACTGTCCTCAGACCTGATTGTGTGTGTCTCTGTGATCTCTTCTTCGCCCCCCCTAAACCCCCCGCTCCCCCCCCCTCCTTCCCCTTTTAGTATGTTTGCAGAGATGTCTTCTGTGTTATACCTCGAATCTCCCACTGCCCAAGGATCCGTCCCGATGCATCCGCCTCGAATCTCCCAGTGCCCAAGGATCCGTCCAGATGCATCCGCCATAATTCGAAAAAGGAGGCGGTCGAAGGAGCAATAGAAAGGAAATTAAAACCCGTTCTTCAACTACTGTTCTACGCCCAACGACGGCTTGGCAACGAGGACCGCCGTCGCCTCCTCGTCCTTACCCCCCTGTGTGACCAGGTCCTTGGCTCGGCGCGCTTCGCCCTGCCAGTCTAATGTGACGACGAAGACGACGAGGCAGATCAGCTGCGCGAGCGAGCCGACGTCTTGCCCCGCCCAGATCCCGACCGCACCCCAGCCGAAATTGAAACTGAGCAGAGCGCCGACCGGGATGGCGACCAGGTAGAATGCCCCGAAATTGACGACCGCGCCGACTACTTGGCGTCCGGATCCCCTCACCACGCCGCCCAAGGTCGCCTGACAGAAGTCGGTCACCTGCAGAAGGGCTAGGAGCGGAATCAAGCGCGACGCCAGCTGTCGCACGCGCAGCTCGTCCGCGTCGTCGCCGGTGAACAGCGCGGGCAGGACGTTCCGCAAGGCGAGGAGAAGCGCAGCGAGACAGAGGGCGGTCGAAAGCGCAATGAACACGACCGTCTTCGCGACCAGCTTCGCTCGCGCGGGGTTGCCCGCGCCCAGCTCGTTGCTGACGCGGATCGTCACCGCCGAGGACAAACCCATCGGGAACATGTAGCAGAGATATCCGACGTTGATGACGATGACTAGCGCCGCGACCTGGACGTCGGGATCGGGGAGAAGACCCGCCAGGAGCACGGTGAACTCGAAGCACCACCACTCCAAGCACACCATGACGCACGCGGGGAGAGACAGGCGGAAGAACGGCCCCCAGCGGCGGAGACAGGTGCGCAGCGACCAGCCGGTCCAGGATTTCTTGTGGATACCGGACCAAAGAATGTAGGCGAATATGAACAAGGGGTAGCAGAACATGGACAAGGAGGTGGCTATGGCGGGTCCCACGAATCCCAGCTTCAGAGTGCGCATCAGCAGCCAGTTCCCTGGCACGTGAAGGAAGAGAGTGAAGCCGGCTGCGACCATGAGTGCCACCACCTCACCCTGAGACTGAAGGTACTTCTCCATCGGCGTAGACCAGGCCTGGGCGAAGAGACCAGGAATCAACCACCTGCTATAAACCTGGGCGTGCGCCGCCAGGTCGGGATCTTGACGGAAGAACAGCAGGATCCGCTCCAGGAACAGTAGGATCGCGGCCAACGGGACGGCGACCAGACTGAGAATCGCGATCCCGCGCTGCAAGGCGTCGCCCAGCTGTGTGTACTGCCCCGCGCCGTACGCCTGCCCGCAGATGGTCTCCAGCCCGCCGGCTAAACCAATCACCACCGCCCTGCCAATCACATTAAACATGGTGACGGCGATGGCGGCGCTTGCAAGCTCGACAGCGCCGAGATGCCCGACGAACCCCATGGAGATGAGAGCAAGAAGACAGAGAAGTACATTCGTCAGGAAGACAGGGAGAGTAAGATGAAGAAGCCTCGAAGCTTCGTCGACAAATCGATCGCCAACTAACCAATCACCCTCCTCCTCCTCCTCCTCCTCCTCCTCCTGAGGGTCAGGTCCAAAATTACCTTCCCCATCTTCCAGATCTGACGGAGGTGATCTATTCACCCTCCAATAGGGGTAGTGGTCATCTGGGTTAGCGACGCCATTGCTGAGAAGAGGAGCTGCCACGTCAGAGTCTGCTGAATCAGAAGCTTTGCGAGCTGCAGCGAAAGCTGACATCGCCGAACCCATTATAGCTCTTCACAACTTCTTTTTTTCTTTCTTTTTTTTTTTTAAGTTCGCAACAACCTCTTCGATACTTCCTGGAATGTAATGCAACCGGGGCACAAAAAAAAAAAAAAAAAAAAAAAAAAAAAAAAAAAAAAAACCAACCAACCCTGCATGCTACGGTCGGCAAGCGTTGAGCACGATCCTCAAATCAGTCTCGGTCGGGCACAATACGTCGCTCTCTGCTCCTTGTTCTGCCCCCTACCCTCCTCCCCACCCTTCTTTCGCCCCCCTTTCTCCCCCCCGCACGCGCTTCAACCCTCCACCCGATCCGCGTTACCCACCCTCCAGCCTTCACCCTGACAGCAACAGCTATGGCGCGAACGGCGGAAGGATAGAGAAAAAGACGACGGACCGCTGCGCTGCAGACGAAGAACAACAAGAAGAAGAAGGAGAGCAGCGACTCGGAGTTCAATCAATGACAGAGGAAGACCCGCGCGTGGGGCAGAACCACAGATTCTGAATCTGCTGAGCTGCGTCACACGTGGCCCACACGTCTTCGCGCATGCAGTCGTAACAGCCGGTGACAGACACGCTGGGAGCTGTCAGGGTTTATTGCGACGTCAACAAAAAATGGATGCAATTGGATCGATATAGAGAAGACTTCGGCAACACGATCTCTCTGCGGGCGTTAGGGCATCGCCGCACCACTGTCGAATCGGAAAAAAGTACAAGTGAATTTCCCTTGGAAACGAGACCAGATGCATCCGTTACTATGAATAGCAAAGAATGCATCTGGCTACTTTCTGAGGAAGGTGCAGTCGCACTTCTTTCCATTTAGACAGTGGTGTGGCGAGACCCCCTGCGCAAGGATGAGCGCCACGAGGCACATAAATAAATCCAGGAATATTTCGTAATATATATATTTGTGACGAAACAGTTTCGTTTTAGACAGTGGCGCTCATCCATAAATAGACCCCCTTGCGCACGGATTTATTTATGACGATATATTACGCACTCGGTAGCGGCCCTTGAAACCCTGTGGCGCTCATCCATAAATAGACAGTGGCTAACTTTAGCGCACCTAGTCGCCACTAGGTAGCGGCCCTTGAAACCCTGTGACGCCCAACCTCGCGCTGATTGGAGTGGGATGTGGGCCTGGAAGTGCGAAAAGGGGTGTGCCAAGGATTTTTGGGGAAAGTGGGGGAGTCTTAAGGGTATGAATGCAATTAGGCGAGTCAGGGGTGTGGCGCACGCATTTTCTTCTCTTTCTTTTCTTTTTCTTCTTATATATATATATATATCTGTTTGTGACGATATATATATATCGTCACAAACAGAACTGCCCGGTAAAACCGTAGGCAGAGAGAGAGAAGAGGACAACAAACGAGGGGCTATATATATATATATATATCATCATATATATTGACGATATATATATCATCATATATATCGTCATCATATATATATATATATCATCATATATAGATATATATCATCATATATATGACGATATATATCGTCACAAATAGAACTGCCCGGTAAACCGTAGGGGGTCTATTTGTGACGATATATATATATATATATATCTCGTCATAAATAAATTACGAAGAGGGGGTCTCGCCACACCACTGTCTAAAACGAAACTGTTTCGTAATATATATATTCCTGGATTAGCAAGGATATATAAATAGACAGTTCGTAATATATCGTCATAAATAAATCCGGGCAGTTCTATTTGTGACGATATATATATATCGTCAAATAGAACTGCCCGGTAAACCGTAGGCAGAGAGGGAGAAGAGGACAACAAATGAGGGGCTGTGACAAACTGTTATATATAGTCACAAACAGATATATATATATATATATATCGTCATATATATATATAAGAAGAAAAAGAAAAGAAAGAGAAGAAAATGCGAGAGGCCAAGGGCGTCGGCGCACGGCACACCAAACGAAAAACGAAACGAGCGCATCTTTCCGAAGAAAATGACCAGGTTCATCAGTTTGCTATAAATAGTAACGAGTGTATGTTGCCACCTTCCGTGGGCAGATGCACTCGTTTCGTTTTCGCTTCGTGCCCCGTGCGGCGAGGCCCCAAGCCTCGCTCGCCCCAGAAAGATAACAAACAGTTTCTTTTTTTTTTTTTTTGGCATAACAAACAGTTTCGCTCCCAACCCCTCAACAGACGCAACGCCGCTCGCTGCAGGCTGTCAGAAAACGTTGTTCCCCTCCTCCCAGAGTGCTAATTGAGGCCCTCAATTCACCGTGGTTCACCCCCCACCACCACTGGGATAGAGGCGTTCTTCTTCTTCTTCGCTCCTTCGGGACATCCCTTAACATTGGAGCGGATGCATCTGACTACTCTCGGGGGAAGATGCTCATTCGTTTCGTTCTTTTTCCGTCGAATGCATTCGTTCTCTTTTCGTTTCGACGGTGGTGTGGAGGAGGTAGTTACTCGTCCACTCACACGAGGAGGCGGAAGAGTTCGTCGCTCAATTTGTCACGTGGAGCGTTTTTTTTTTTTTTTTTTATTATTATTATGGAGCGGATATGTATGTCGTTTGGACGTGAAGGGGGTCCGTAGGGGAAAAAAAAAAAGAAGTCCGTATGCCGTTTGGACGTGAAGGGGCGAGTTCTTTGGCCCACTTTGCAGGGCGCGGGTTCTAGGGCTTCGAATTCACTTCGTTTTCGCGTTTTCAATTTTTGGGACAGGTGCTGTGCAACGTTTCGTTTTGTTTTTTCTTTTGTCGTTTAGTGCACACTTTTTCACGGCCCGCTTTGCAGGACGCGGGTTCGAGGGCTCCGTATTCACTTCGTTTTCCTCGTTTTCAATTTTTTGGGATAGACACGTTTCCTACAGTGTTTTTTGGGGGGCGGGCGGGCGCGCGTTGGTACGTCTTTTTTTGGGTGCACGCCGGGTTCGTTTGGCGCCGCGCCGGCGTTTGCAGAAAGTGTTGTCCCGCAGGTGTTGGGCAGATTCAACCAGGGAGTGTATATTTCTATGTTCTAGCGAAAGATTCGTTCGATTTTGCTCATCCTATCATGGAAGTAGCGTGACGCCAGCCGCGAGGTTGGAGAATTACCTATTCTCTCTCTCTCTCTCTC